ATCCCAACTATTCTATTTGGAGTCAGTAACACGAATCTTGTTATGCCATTCTGCCCTATCAAGGGTACCCTCAGTCAGACCATAAGTCACCATATCTCTTCTCACTACTTCGATCCAAATCCTTTTGAGCCTCCCCTTTTCCCTTTTAGAGCCTTCCACATGAACCAAATCGCACCTCTTAACCGGAGTTGTATTACGCCTACGTTGTACATGGCGAGACCACCTATGCTTACTTTCCTACATCTTATTGCCTATTGAAGCCACACCTAAATTCCCTCGCATATCATTCTTGTCTCGCCACTCATCCATCTCAACATCCTCATTCCAACCACACTTATCCTATGGGTATGTTGTTTCTTGATCACCTAACATTTTGTCCCATAAAGCATGGTTGGTCTTACAACTATCCTATGGAACCTCCCCTTCAATTTTGTTGGTATCCAGTGATCCGGATGCACATCTCCACTCCCCCCATCCAACTTTAATTCTAAGTGTGACATCTTCCTCAATGTCTCTATTCTCCTAAATTATCCACCCAAGATATCGAAAATAAGCTTTTTTAGATATTTCTTGGTCATTAATATTAAATACTTCTTTGTTTCTACTCTAATGATTACTAAACTTACATTCCATATATTATGTCTTAGTTTGGCTAATTTTAAAACCTTTAGATTCTAGAGCATCCCGCCAAAGTTCTAACTTTAAATTGAATCCACCTCTAGCCTCATCAATCAAAACTATGTCATTTGCGAACAACATACACTACGATATGTCATCTTGTAGGTACCCAGTTAACTCATCCATAACCAAAACAAAGAGATGTGGGCCCAGCACTAACTCCTGACGTAGGCCTATAGTCATTGAAAATTCACTTGTCTCTCCACTAGTTGTCCTCACACTAGTTAGCACTCCCTCGTACATATCTCTCACCATTTCAGTATATCCTCTAGAGACTCTTTTCTTTTCCAACACCCACTAAATTAAATCTCTAGGCACCCTATCATATCATAATTGTCAGAGCCTTTTCCGAACTAATTGAGATCGACTATACGAATCCTACTCTGCCATTCTGCTCTATTATGGGTCATACCCTCAGTGAGGCCACAAGTCCCCATATCTTTTCTCTCTACTTCCAACCATGTCCGTTTGGGCCTACCCCTTGCCCTTTTTGAGCCTTCCACTTGAAATAACTCCCACCTTCTGATAGGTATTGTACTAGGTCTACACAACACACAGCCTACCCACCTAAGTCTACCTTCTCTCATGTTATTGCGTATTGTTGCAACTCCTATATTCTCCTTAATGTATTCATTTCAAATTCTATCCCTTCTTGTATTGCCACTCATTCATATCAACATCCTCATCTCGGCTACACTCATTCTATGGGTATGTTGTTTCCTGACCGCCCAACATTCCACCTCATAAAGCAAAATTGGTCACACAATCATCCTATAGAACATGGCCTTCAGCTTCAATGGTATGTGGCAATCACAAAAAACTCCGATTGCACATCTCCACTTCGCCGGACCCAACTCTAGTTCTATGCGCGACATCTTCCTCAATCTCTCCATTATCCTGAATTATCGACCCAAGATATTGAAAGTGCACTCTTTTTGGTATTTCTTGGCTATCAATCTTAACTACTTCCTCGTCTCTACTATTATTACTGAATTGGCATTCCATATACTCTATCTTCATCTGACTAATTTTAAAACCATGTACCCTATCATATGTTTTCTTTAAATCAATAAAGACCATGTGGAGCCCCTTTTCCCTTCTCCTTAAACTTTTCAATCAATTGCCTAAGTGGGAAAACAGCCTCAATTGTTTACTTCCCTGGCATATAACCAAAACAATACACTCATTTCATGCCTTACCCATTGCTCAATCACTCTCTCCCACAGCTTTATAGTGTGCTTCATAAGGTTGATCCATCGATAGTTTGTACAATTTTATATGTCTCCTTTGTTCTTGTAAATAGGTACCACAATACTTTTTCTCCATTCATCTAGCATTTCTTTGTTCTTGACACATTGTTGAACAAATTGGGCAGCCAGCATATGCCAATCTCTCATGCACTTCCAAACCTTCCAAACCTCTATCAGAATACCATCTGGTCCTAAAGCCTTTCCTATCTTCATCTAGCTAAAAGCTTATTTTACTTTAGATATCCTAATCCTGCAAATATATCTATGGCATCCACCCTAATTTATGTCAAAAGTTCCTCCTAATGTTGTGTTCCTATAGTATTTGTCATTTAACAATATTTGAAAATCAATTTTCAACCTTTTGTTACCTCATCATCCCTCAACAAAACCCTCTAATCCTCACCCTTAACGCATTTAACATGATCAATGTCCCTACAATTATTCTCCCATTTTTGCTGGTTTGAAGACATCTTTTTCACCTTCTCTTGTCCCCAGTTTAGTATATGAATTATCATATGCCTTGTGTTTAGCCATACTTATTATATTCTTAGCATTTATATTCTTCTAAGCTTTGATCATTTCAATTACATTGTCAAACTCTAAAACATGATCATAATATCCTTCTGAACCTCATCGCTCTACCATCAAGTTTTCTTATCGAAATTTCTTTTCACTTTAGTTTCTCCTAAAACTTCTTTTGCCACTTTCTTAATATAGTCAACTATCTCATTTCACATAACATTAACTTCGTGCTCATGATTTCATTTTCCATTTAAAATAAAATTTTGTGTCTTTTCGAAGTAAAATCAAGGTCAACAACTCAAGAATGAGATAGTAGCAAAATTTTAAAAAACACAACTATACACACCGTCTTCCATTTTGCATGTGCTATCTAGGATGCTATGCTATGAGTTGAAAGAATTATTGCCACATGCCTATAAGAAGTCTCTAAAGCTCTTAAGTTGGAAACCATTTCTAATCACATCTATCATCTCTTAAGATTAATGCTTCTAAGGAGATTCAGATGAGCCTTGATTACAAATACACATTGAATCTCTCATCTCTGATAATCAGTGTTTTAAAACAAGATAACATGAATTAGGTCACACCCACATGAAGTCAACTCAAAAAACTAGGAAGTCATGTGATTTATGAGGAGACCCTGAATTTTGCCACATTACGATGTCTTCTCAATGACAGAATTCGAGCCTTAATTTGACTCAACTGAGTCAACTCAAAATGAACAAGCTGAGTCTTAGGGCATTACTAATCGTCCCAATGTGAGATGAATGCATCCTTAGCATATTTAGAGGTTAGAGTCTTGTATTTTTCTTCTTTTTTAATAAAAGACACTACCATGCTTCTAGTAAGTGTAGGGATGCTTAATATGAAAGTCCACAGATTTTGATGAAATTAACCAAGAACCTTTCTCAACAACCAACCAACCCCACACCCAAACAAACAAAACACACGCACACACACAACAAAAGAAGAGACTATGTATAGATGAAAAATGCAGCAGTATTTTTCATTCTTTTTGTATTGTATTTCACTGGTAGTCAACATTTGAGGTTTTATTGGAATGTCTGGGAACCCGAATCATTTTAGGAACCGGAATCGCAGCCGGCTAGAAGATTCTTGTCTTAAGAATCATTTTCCGTACAATAGGAATATCTAGGAACGAGATTCCTAGTTTTGGAGAATCGTGTTTCGACCGAAATAGATCCAAGTTTCATCCACCTATGGAATCGAGATTCTGTCCTCCTTGGAATCGGGATTTCCTTCCCCCTGGAATCGACACTCCAAGAATCAAGATTCTTTAATATGCGGAATTGAGTTTCCGACATCTATGGAATCGAGTTTCTGACATATGTGAAACATAGATATGTTGTTGCTTCGAATCGTGATTCTAACATATTTGAAATCAAGTTTTTAAAGTATATAATTAAAGATCCATGCCAGTTTGAGATCGAGATTTACAATAATATGGACAATGGAATGCGGTTTGACGACCCCTACCAAGAATCAAGATTTCATTTTTATAGAGAAGGAAGCCACAAACACATCTTGAGCTTCATCAACTTTAGAACCTATATTGGATGTCTCTTATTAGAAAGTTTCTCGAATTTGAAAGTAATTGTGTTGACTATTGAACTTATGGTCATTATATACAAAAGACAAGTATTCCTAAATTGTGATTTTGACTTCATTATTATAAAAGACAAAATAAGATTATGTCTACGCCATGGTTTTACTTCTAATTGTACGTGTTGTATTTACCAAATTATATTTTAAATTTAAAGTAAATGCCATCCAAGGTGGCACAAGTAAAATAATGAAACCTTGCAACCACTAAAAGCATTCGAAGGAAGATTTCTACTCCAATTGACATGGAATCAAGATTTAATCCTCGCTAGAATCCAGATTCGATATATTTGGGAACGTCTACCCGCAATCAATGGGTTCAAGTTTTCAAAGATGTGTTGGATCGAGATTCCGAAATTAAAGAATCGAGTTTCCTTGATTCCGATAAATGGTTTCTAAAGATGTGTTGAATCGAGATTCCAAAATTAAGGAATCGAGTTTCCTTGGTTCCGAAAAAAGGTTTCTAAAGATGTGTCGAATCGAGATTCCGAAATTAAGGAATTGAGGTTCCTTGGTTCCGAAAAACGGTTTCCATGGAGATTTCTTAACGGAAACACGAAATCGAGTTTGAGAACCGGAAACGCAAGGTCGATACAGAGATTCCGGTAACTATGATTATGATTACAAAGCACAGGGTAGTAAGAAAAATCATATTATGCCTTTCAGTTTCTTTTGTGAATATAGTCAGAAACATTTTATTCAATCAAGATCAAATCTCACTGTTGCTTTCCTTTTAACAAGAACATGTGCCTCCAAAATGTAAATCCAATAGTACACGTGATAGAAAATCTGATTGAGAAGTTATTTATCTTCAACTCTACCGTACTCATACACTTGTTCCTTACGGAGTAAAGGGCACCACAAGTTATTTTGTTCAGATGCTTTTTGTTTTTGAAAAGATGGTAAGGATCTCAGAGAGTGGTTTACCTCCTCACGCCTCTTTCTGTTTTCCTCAACCTGCAATTTGCAACATCTGCTATTAGTATACTACAATTAATCTGCCGAAGTTTAAGGACTACATCTAGGAAGCTTGATTTCTTAACACAGAGAACAAGGCATAGACTAAAGGACATGGAATCAAGCGTATCTGAGAACTAAATTACTGCATGGTGCATAATAAGAGGTGCACGGTCATGTATTTGAATCCGAACATGTATGACTCCCCTTTTAATGCATAAAAAGATGAATACAATGTCATGTATTTGAAATCAGAACATGTACGACCCCCTTTGATACAATAGGAATGACTAAATAAGTCAGTCACAGCACCACGAAAAAGAGAAAACTACTGCAAGTTTAGCGGAGTAAGAGGACTAAATGCTCAAAGAGATTATGCCTCCAGATCCTCCATGATTTTTTTTGGGTGAATACAATGGAGATCCTTCATGATGTGTTTATTGTTTTCTGTTTTCATATCTCACCTCTCCCCCGTTCCTCCCCCCCATGCTTATAAGAAGTCTCTAAAGCTATTAAGTTGGAAACCATTTCTAATCGCATTTATCATCTCTTAAGATTAATACTTCTAAGGAGATTCAGATGTGCCTTGACTACAAATACACATTGAATATCTCATCTCTGATAATCAATGTTTTAAAACAAGATAACATGAATTGGGTCACGCCCACGTGGAGTCAATTCAAAAACCTAGGAAGTCATGTGATTTGTGAGGAGACCCTGAATCTTGCCATATTATGATGTCCTCTCCCCCGCTCCTCCCCGCCCCCGCCGCCCCCCAAAAGAAAAAAAGAAAAAGGGAAACTGTTTACATCTAGGTTTGATGCCCATAGGCAACATCATGTAACAGCTTCCTTTTGTAATAATAGAAAAGGGAACTGGAATGCTTAAAGAGATCAAGTAATCAATCCAAGATATTGAAGCTATCGTTTGTGGCACATGGATTACTTACAAATTATAACCGGTGATGTCAGATTCAAACTCATTTGAACTTGATCCAACCACCACTCCATGTCTAGCTCTAGTTGGACATCAACACAGCAAAAACTTTAATTTCTATTGGGAGCATCAAAATAAGAGAAGACATAGAAACTTCAATATTAGGCCCCAAGACCATTGCTGAACTTGGCATCTTTGAAAAACATGCCAAGAATAAATAACATGGATTCCAACCAAAAACTGAAATAATCAAGCAGTTCATGATGTCCAATTAATTAGCTACTGTAAATTGCTTTGGATAAGTAGTGCCCAAGCAATTCTCAAAAGGAAATCCACAAATTTGTCGCAACTTGTAAGCAGCCTGCATATTAGTACTGGTCTCAGAATGTGTTTTCCATTTACCAAAAGTTTTAACAAAGGTTTAGTGAGACCCTTTTTCGAGTTATTTCATGGTGATTCTAAATGAAAGACCCTGAACATCCCATTGTGTCACTGTCGTTAAAATTACTCATCGGCCAAATTGTACAGGACGAAACAATTCATCAGAAGAAACTTTCAAAGAATAGGTTCAAATACAGAGAGGGAGTCTGAGAAGCAGATCATGTCTCCCACATCCCAACTGATCTGAAATGCACAATAGTCTCATGCAGCAATTGCCAAATCTTAAATGGTAAACTACAAGGTTTATTTGAGGAATTTTAAAGACTAGGCTCACAATTGATAAGCTGTTTTCAATACATGACCTAGGGCTTGAAAGCCATATTCTCCTATGGGGAAAGACCATGATAACATTGCTGCTACTAGGCGACAAGCGAAACATTTATATCAAAGATTCAGAAGAACTAAACTTCAAGTTTAACATAATATGTGAACAGTATAAAATAAGAAATTCCATCACAAAGTGAAAGGTGAACAAAGCTTAAGAAACTCCCTAAGTTTCTAAGAAAGAGAAGTGCATGGGTCCAAAACAGGACTAACATAAGCAGGTTTCTATTGCATTTCAATTCATGGTGGCATCAACATCATGAAATAGATTTAACAAATCATAATATTCTCATAAAGCATGATTCTTTGCACATGCAGCATATGACATCCAAAAAAGGCAGAAATGTATTGAACATTGACTAACATATATCAATCACATAAAGCAGACTCCAGTAAAACTATAAAAGAAAAGAGAACAAAAAAAGAAAGGAAGCAGAGTTCAACAAAACTAAGTCCACCTTGAGGTGAAAGTACGAATAATGTGGAATCATCATACTGGCAATCTTTATGTAAGAACGTAAACAATTTCTCAAATCACAAATCAGGAAGGGAAAAAAAATAGTGAAAGGCCATGAAACGGTACCTGTTGTGCTTGTAGTTGTGCATTTTCCTCCTCCAGTTGTGTAACTAATGTCTCCAACTCCACAGTGTAGGCCTTCAACAAACAAATAATAATAGTAATAAATAACAGAAGCATAATAAACCCTTGAAACCATCAGAGTAGCAGACCAAGGTTCAATACGATAAGTTCATTGATCGCCAGAAATATCCCCAACTCAGACCTTTTGATAAACAATACCAAGGTGTAGCTACAGCCTATAACTTCAAAAGAAGTATGAGCATGGAGTGAGTGCAAGTGCAACCAAAAATGAGAGAAAACCCAAATCCAAAGAAGGAAAAGTGAGAAGTATGAAAAAAGCAAGAAATAAAGAAACTAATAGCGAAAAAGCTGGAAAAAGTGTTGTTTAAAGTGTTAGAAGCAACGATTGTCAACATTCAGCATCCTTCAATATTACGAAGCATAAAATCAGAATAAGTGATAATAAATAACACGAGTAGAGAGAGTAGAGATAACACAAATTAATTAAGAAAAAAAAGGTGGACAAAAAAGGAAAGTGAAAAATGAAGTTGAACAAACTTAAACCAATTCAAATCACCACCGCACCAGCTGCCAACCATAAAGCCATCTAAGGACAAGAACCACATACGAGTAACAATAACAATAGAATACAAAGAAAACCAAAATTACCTAGTGAAAAAACCTAGGGGACTGATGCTTTGGAATCAGTAGTTAGGACCTTGAGAACTGCAATACTCATGGATCAAGACCAAGCTAGCCTACTCCCATCCCAACCCTACTCCGATACGAGAGAGATCATGAAGCTTAAAGAAAATTTAACAGAATGGTAAATCAAATTTTCACAATAACTACCATCGGAATTACTATCAATCATGAATATAGAAAACAACAACAATTCAGAAAACACTAAAACGGCAAAAACCCATATCAATTTAGAAAATAACAATTAAAACCCCAATTAAACTAAAAAAACACAACAGAGCAAACCAAAGAGAGCGCTTAAAAATATTATAAATAGCAGAAAATTGTACCTGTTTTCTCTCTCTAGAACGAGCAGCACTTTCCCTGTTTTTTATCATCCGTCTCTGCCTTTGCTGGGCAACCTTATCAACCGGCTCGTGAACTGCTCTCCTCTTACCCCTGCTTGATCCCTCATGCCCTAACCCTAACCCTAACCCATTATTATTGTTACTCCCCAAACCACCCTCCTCCAATCCCCCTAATCTCTGAAACTGCCCTTGCACCCCCAAAACCCCATCCCCAAACATCGACTGCTGAGACACCATCTCATCTCCCTTCACACCAAATCTCCTCCAATCCGAGGGTTCACAAACCCCCTGAGCCTGGTTCTCCTCTCTCACAATCCCTGCCTTAGCCAAAAAGTCCTCAAGTGTCATTTCCCCAAAAGTAGGCTCCTTATAAACCATTCTCTCTCCTCTCTGATCAGTTGCAGAAGAGGAGGCAAGTTCCCTCCAAACTTCCTCTACAGTCTTGTTGGCGACTTGTTTAGGTAATGAAAGGTTGTTTTGATGAGGAAAAGAACCAGAATTCATCATAACTTGGCCAGAATCTGACATGTTCCCCGCCAATTGGCCTGAATCCGGCTGGTTTCCGGCGAGAGCAGCTGCCATAGCCTGAGACTCTTCAGCTGTCCATATATTACGAAGAAGGTCATCCATGCTCATGCTCCCTAAACCCTTGTTCGAGTTTTGGAGCTCTGCAATCGTGAGGGAATATATTGAAGCTTGACGGTTCAGATCCGAATTTGTAGTGGAATTGGAAGAAGCCATCACCTTAGAAGCCATTTCTCGCTCGCGCTTTTCACCTGCGATTTTCCAGGGTTTCTCACCTCAAATGGCGGAAACCGCTGTAGGGAACACTGGTTTTTTATTACTTTTGAGTTTCTGTACTGCACACCGTCCCGCGATGTTTTAGGGTAACGCTTCTATAACACGGGACGCCAGAAACCGCGTTAGGGTTTCCTTGCCAAAATAAGGTAGATTCCAGATTCTTGTTGCAGGACGATTTTTTAGGGTTTCTCACAAAAATAGAAACTTCCTACTTTCTCTCTCAGCTGTAAGAGCTGGAAGATTTCTCATTCTACGAAATTTCTCACTATAATTTTCAGTGTATGTAAACTAAAATGTTCGAAATTGCAAATCGAAAAGTGTATATCTAATTCTTAAAAAAAACATCTCTGTATATCTATCTATTACCTAGAAAACTTACAAATGATCAAAAAAAACAAGTAATTTCTCAGCTTTCTCTCTGAAACTCCGCCAGTTACATAATCCATCATCTCCATGGCAACGCTCCCTTCTCAGGTAAGAATTCCTCTCTGAACATTTCTAGGGTTTTTTAAGCGCATTTCGAATGCGTGGAGAATCTTTCCAAGACTCTTCTCTCTCCTGAATAAAGGAGTTGTCTTTATGAGCGAGAGAGGTAGTTTTGCAGTAAGGGGAGAGCTATCTATAAACGGCAAATTAGCGGCTATTTCAAGTGATTTCACTTTTTGACTTCAAAATTAAATATATCCACCGCGTCATACACTCTCAGAGGAGCACATTGTTCACTTGATTCCTTGAGGATAAACAGTTCGCATGAAATTTTTCTCATTTTCACGTAGGTTATGAGGTTACATCCCAAGTTTGAGTTCCCTGGACTACTCGTGGATAGAGTTTCCGTGACGAGTAAAGCTAATACATGGTCTTGCGGGAGTATATAATATGGTAAAAATGACAAAGTCTAGAGAGAGAGCAAACCACCTTTGGCGTGGGCAATCCGTCCTCCCATTATAAGTAAGTCGCTTCTCGTTTTGAAGTGTAACGCGAGTACTATGCTCCCGCGGGAACAATACTTTGTATCTACTCCCTCATCCAAAACATTTTAGGAATTTTTTTATCTAAAATTTTGGGAAATTTGAAAGAAAAGTTTTTAATTGTGAGTTTTGCCGACGCTTAAATCATTAAAAGTTAGGATATTGTATCCTCGTATTTGTATGAATTTAATGGGTACTCTTGTGTCAGTGTATTTCTTTTAGGAAGAAATTTATATAAGGTCTCTTATTCAAGTAAGGTGCATCTTAAAAATCGTCTAGTGTTTAGATGGTGAAGAACCCTCTAATTAATCATCTCGATGTTGAGATATATGATCACGAAGAAAAACAAATTTCAAGTTCTAAACATATTGTGTTTTGTAACAAGCTTTGTGGAACGTGCATTTTCAAAATTTACAAATATTTATGGATGTGCTCAAAAGAAGTCTCTAAAATATACATTGACATAGTGAGATATACATGAAAGGGAATGCAAATTAGTGTGAGGACGATAAAATGAGATACAAATGAGTTTTTAGTGACAGTAGGCCTACAATAGAGGTTGGCATTAAGCTCATATATATTTGCTTTGGTTATGAATGAGTCCTACAATAGAGGTTGGCATTGAGCTCATATATATTTGCTTTGATTATGAATGAGTTATCCAGGTACCTACAAGATGAGGTATTGTCATGTATTTGTTTATAGATGATATAACTTTCATTGATGAAACTAGAAATGAAGTCAATGTAATGTTAGATTTTTGGAGGGGTGCTCTAGATTATAAAGGTTTCAAAATTAATTGGACTAAGATAGAATATATGAAATGCAAGTTTAATAATATTAGGAATAAAAACGAGAAATTAGTTAAGATTGGTGATGAAGAAATACTTAAAAACGACTATTTTTTATATCTTGATAATATAAGAGAATGGAGAGATTGAGAAAAATGCCTCCCATAGAATTAGACCGGGATAGATGAAGTGGAGATGTGCTTCTAGAGCCTTATATGATTGTTACATACTAATGAAACTAAAAGGGAAGCTTTATAGATGGCAATAAGACCAGCCATGCTTTATAGGACAAAATGTTTGGTGGTCAAAAAACTACATATCTATAAAATGAGCGTGGTTAAGGTGAGGATGTTGAGATGGATGAGTGGCAAGACACATATAGTTGGAATTCATAATGAATCCTTCCAAGAGAATTTGGGGAGGGCTTTAATAGGAGACAAGATGAGGAAAGTAGACTTAAATAGTTTAGCCATGTACAATATTGACCAAAAATACCACCAGTTAGAAGAGGCAATTTTGTTCAAATAAAATTTAATTCAAGTAGAAAGCTTTAAAATAACATAGAAAAGACCCTAAAAGACATGAATAAAAGTAGTGATGAGAGATATGATGATTTATAATTTGAGTGAGGGTATAACCTTTAATAGAGCATAATAGCGGAACATAAATTATATAACTAGTTTCAAATGGTTTGGATAAAGTTGTAATGATGATGACAAATTTAAAATAAAATTACATTTTCAAGGCGTAAGGTTTCCAACACCCAAAGTACATCTCCGTATAATTTTTAGAGGTGCACCTTATGTCTACTGTATAAGGTGGGTACCGTTATATAAACTTCACTCCTTTTAAGACCATCATCTGTGGAATGACCGTTCATTACTAAATTTATCTTAAAAAAATATATAATTAAGGGAAATTTATCAAAATGGCATATTGGTTAAGCAGCTTGCTCTTGGTATTTTAATACCTCTTGAATTCCTCTTTATGATAAAAGCAAAAAGAAATTTATCAAAACATAATTAAGGAATGAATTGCCGTCTCTTTTGATTGAATTTTAAAAATCTCATAAAAGTACACATGATCATGAGTTAGAATGGTTTGAAAACGAATTAAATGTTAAAAAGTTGGCAAGTTAGGTATATTTTGCCATTTTTAAAAAAATTATTCAAATTTTACGTAAAAAATAACTTAGAAAAAAGTACGAGAGGCTTAATCATTGTTTCAAGTGCCCTTGGATGGTTTGTTTGGTGCTAGTACTAGGTAGAAGCTCGATGATTAAGCTAAAAGGATACTTTGATACAAATCCATCCAAAATTGGCCAAAATGTGGATTATTTTCTTGAGTTTTTTGCCAAAATATAGATTTGGAATGCTAAAAATAGAGACATTCCAAGTCTAAATTGGGCAAAACGTGAAAAAAAATTTATATAAGGTTGAAGCCCTAAACAATCCAACTAAGATGCTCTTCAAAACCTCAACAGAACAAGTTATTTCGATGTTGTAAACCCTTCAAATCCAATCATCTCAACCTTGAGATACATGGATACAAAAAATAAAAAATATAAAATATAAAATATAAAATAAAAAGAAAAAGGAAAGGATTTCAAGTCTTGAAAATAGGACATCTTATAATGCATTATCTAGACAGTAAATTTTCAAGATTTTCAAGTGTTTGTAAATGTGCTTGATCTACACTATTTTTTATGTTTTAAATTTTATAATTTTCGCTGAAAATACATTTTCAGGCAACATAATGACTTTCGTAATGAAATGACATGTTTCGTCACTATTTTGAAAGTGCGCCTTATTTTGATTGTTTAAGGCCTCTGCCTTGTACAAACTGCACCCAAAATATGGACTACGTATGCTATAGAAGTTGAGGTTTGGTTCTTCTTTAGCACATCATGTGACAATGAGAAACTAGATGAAGATTTTTGTTTTTCCTTTGTATTCTTTTTTTTCCCCTTCTTGAAATCCTATAAGTTCAATCCCTCATTTAAATAAAGAAAATAAGACTAGAGAGATATTTCAAAACATTGGAATTCCATTTTTATGAATTTGGAGTTCCAATAGAAAATGCAGATTGATGATCTTTTGAACAACTAGGATGTACAAAATAAACAATTTTTAAGGCTAAAATTTCAAACTTTTGTGTTCTTCAGAAAGCTAGAGACCTCTTGTGCTAATATGCTCGAGAGGGTTGTCTCGGTCAACTGAATTACAACTAGTTTTTGGCTGAAATTTCTATAGTATTTTCCTGGTAGTGGAAGACTGGGAGCTGAGCTTTGTGTTCTTGGGTCACATTTTTGTTGTGTTTTAGCCTGAAATTGGAGGTTGGTGGCCGGTTTCTATGTTGTTGGGTGAGATAGTTTTTGGGTTTTGGCCACAAATTCGATATCAGCAGCCGATTTTGATTTTCAGGTAAAGAAGAAATAAGCAAAACAATAAACAACATTGAATGTGCCAAAATTATGAAAAAATGTATAAAAAAAAAATTGTAAAAAAATTGATTTTAACCGAAAACAATTTAGAAAATGACCCAACACGTATATTGTAGAAATACGAGCTTGTCAATAAATATATTTAAATACAATTTGATTCTAATTTTTGAAGAATATGTAATCTTTAATATGGAGATCATGAATATGAAATTAATAATAATAATTTTGAAAACTAAAAATAATAATTATATTAAAAAACCATTTGAACCTTTAGTTACCATTGTTTTTAAGTGGACCGCCTATTTTCATCCAGATGGATGCTTTCCACTTTTGGACCGCATATTATAGAAATGCAGTCCAACTTGCCTGAAACAATTTTCTTTTGAAAAATCTTCGAAGAATTTATTGTTTCCACTGCCCAATTCGAGTTGACTAAGCCGAATTTTAAAACCTTATATATAATTATTTATGTTACGGAAAGAAATCATTTCTACTCAAATCGCAAGTCCACGACGGCTTTGAGTCATACACCAACTCCGTTCTTTTAGAAACGGGTCAGGAGATGAAAAAATAACAAAATAAATCACATCAATAGATAAAATTCAAAATGATATTTTTATGCAACATTTCAAATTCATAAATGTGGTGTTAGAGATTATCAACCCACTCATTCAAGGCCACATTTAAATAGGTGCGTCCTCACCAAAACTCTGTCGCATTAGAGTAATTTGAGTTATCAAATAACTTAAAACTTTCTATGCTCCTCTGGGAGTATATTGCTCATTTACTCTCTCAGGCAAAATTTAATCTAACGATGCTTTAGGGCCCCAAATTTGAAGGATATATTCTTTTCAAAAAATTAATCTAACAACGTTTTAGGGCCCCAAATTTGAAGGATGTATTCTTTTCAACATAGCTACTGATCTTTAAAAAAAAAAAAAAAACTTCAAATCCTAACCCTAAAGAAAAAAACATTTCCTAAAATTAAATGTACACTGTGCACGTTTTTGGAAGACCAAATCAAGTGCCAAAACCCAAAATTCAATTTTTTAAAGGGTGCCGTTTGTAGCCGAAGCTCTAAACAATCAAAATAAAACGTACCTTCAAATAGTATCGAGATATGTTGTTTCAATGTTGAAAATTTTTATGATAGCCTTAAAATATATTTTTATCTTTAATTATAAAATTTAAAGCTTAAAAAATAGTGTAGATCGAACATATCTATAAGAATTAGAAAATCTTGAAATTTGACAATAAAAAATGCATCCACTATTTTCAAAAGTTGAAATCTATAATTTTCTCATATCTATGCATCTTGATGGGGAGATGACCAATATGAGGATATTTGGGCATCAAAACAACCGTTTTTAGTGAAATTTTTGAGGTGAACTCTAATTTAATTGTTTA